AATATATCTGGTGATTCTTTTTGATACTATGGAAAAATAAATTCATTGGTAACAGTCGCAGCATCCGGGCTGAGACTTGAACTAGCAGAACTTAAAGTCTCTTCTTTGATTTTTAAACTGGAAGAATCTTTATTTTTGTCCTTTTCTTTATCCTTTTCTTTGACTTTGTCTTTATCTTTTTCTTTCTTTTCTTTATCCTTGCCATGCTTATGATCATGTTTATGCTTGTGTTTATGTTTGTGTTTCTTTTTGTCTTTCTTCTTCTTCTTGTTCTATAAGATATAATTTCAAAATTAAAAATGCACATTATATACAAATTGTGTAAGTACGTTACAAATAAAAGATTATTTATGATGTAATTTACTTTGTTGGCAGAGTCATTTTTCTGTTTGTGATCATCTACTTCTTTTTTAAACATTCCCGGTTCAAACCCAACAGGTCCTGGTGTTCCCATAATTCCAGGTAATGATGCAGAATTATCACTATAATATTCTGATTTGACTTTACCGTCACTAGTTACGGAACTCGCTCTTTCATCCTATTCAACACAGGAAAGTGCATAATTAAAATGAAGTTTGCGTAAATTTCGTAACTCTTGATTATACGTATATCTTACATTAAGAGTCTGCTTCTGTCGTTTTACTTCAGGACCATATTCCACTGAATTTGAAGGGCCTGGAATATCCCGACAAGGGGAAGGTTTCCTTTTGCCCGGTGCGCTTGTATTATCCACTTCCACTACTGGCGGTTCATGTTTTATGTGCGATATAGTCGGTTTCATCTGAAATTCACATTATCCATATTGTAACTATGCATTATATTGCACATATTATTGCTACATTGCTACATACATCTTGTTCAGGACTTTGTGGTCCTACTTTCTTAGGTTTAGTAATAGCAGCAATTTCAGGAATAGGTAGACATAATGGACGCTTAGAGCCATATAAGGTGTAGTACAAATCAACCAAATCACAACGTATTTTGGGATCATGAGAAAGCATACCACTGAAAAAATGTATTTTAAGCGGATATCACTAAAACAGTTAGATTACATCTAGAATAAATTTATACGTACTTAATTAAGTTCCAGATACGATCAACTAATTCAGGACGATCCAAACGGTGCTTATGAGCTCTCTCAAATGGTGGATTTTCCACCATAAGCCTGACTAATCTATGTCGTACACCGGGGTGTGGATCCATTTCTATCATGTCTAATAAAAATTCTAGATCTTCCCACTTCCCATCTACTTTCGTAAAATCAACTAAGGCTTCCAATGCTGCAATTCTAACATCTAAATGAATAAAAGAAAGTAATATATGAATGTAATACTTGGTAGTATTTATTGATACATATAATATTTAATACTTTATGTACCTATAAATTGTCCATATGCAGCATATGCTCTGAAAAGATTGGGATTACTCGGGAGATGTCCGAATTTTTGTAATATTCGTATAACCTTCAGGCAAGCAACACTGACAGTATATTTGTAACACGGTAATAATTTCTCCAAATTTAAATTTCTGGTGACTTCTTCTAGTATAGCTTTAGTATCAACTGATAAAGACTCAGCAGTAATAGCTGTCCTAAAAGAAAACACGTTGTGCATGAAATTAGATAATTAAATAATAATATTCCTATGTTAGTTTATTCATCATACCCTTGTTGTATACTAATTACTGGAGTGACTGTAGCTCCAAGGGCTTCGATTAAACCTGCTCTATAGTAATTATCTGAATATCTATTTTTACTATTATCATTATATTTAAACAAATCCATTAAGAAAGCTAAAACTTCCGGTGGGCATATACCATGAGCATTACGCAATCCTGCCATTGCTACAGGTATAGTCTAAAATTGTAATGAGGATATTATACAAAAATCACAAGAAAATAATTCATTGATGTTAGAAAATGTTATTCTAACCTTTTGAAGAAAATAATGCTGAAAATTTTGAAAGTTATTTTGTTTGATTATGCGCCTACACGACGCTGATCCAAATAATTTTCTAAAAATAGTTAACATTGCTGGTGGACCTGCCCATGTTGCAACCATTGCATTTGCTACCTACACGAATATGTACATTTGTTGTAAGAATCGTGTTATCAATTATGTAATAAATTGATTTGAAATGTAAACAACCTTTGTTAAACAATGTGCAGCTCGTAGTCTAACTTTATAATAACAATGTTCATTTTCTATAGTGTCGTTTAACGCTAATCGTGTAGGAGGAGTTGCATGATTTTGCAGTGCTTCGATAGCTTCCAATTGTGCAGTAACATCTCTTTCATGTCTTAACTGATATTGCCATTGATAATCAGGTTGTTCAATTTGAGCAGAACGCATAAGCGTCATCTCGGGGTCTAATCTTATCCATAACACAGGAGAGTCACTATAAAAAAAAAAAAATGTTATCGTAATAGCCTTAATTAAATAATTTTCAGTACTATACAATAAAATTTACTCCATAGCAGAAAGATCCATATCCACTTCTTCTCCAGTACATAATGGAATCTTCTTTTTCTTATTTCTACGACTTTTACTATGACATGTTATATCTGCCTTTGCAACTGTCCCTTCAATTTGTAAAGTGTGCTTGAAAGTACCATCTAACTCTTGAATGTTAACTAGAAGTGGTCCTACATATTTTCTTATCCCTCTTTGATTTGTGGTATCTTGCCGAATTTCTAATTCTACTGTATTCCTACAAATTTTATATTAACAAGTACTGAAGAACCAGGTATTATGTGTAATATTGAGTATTTTTTATATTACCTTTTCCTATTAAACACAAAACTTAAACTAAATTTCGCATGTCCACCAGTCCTGACCCACTGATCTATAAATACTGCCATATCCTTACCCGTTACAGTAAAGATTGCTTTAGTAAAAACATTTGTACTAATTAGCATATGCGACCAAAGTCCAGAATCAATTTTTTGTTGTGCTGCATTAGCAGCAAGAGACAATTGTTTATTGAAAACCTAAAAAGTATTAAAATGAATTTCAACATTTTTAAAAACGTAAATGGATAATTATAATAAATATAAAAGGTACCTGCAGCAGCAATTCTTGACCAATTCGATGTTCTAACATTCTAATTACTAAATGTGCTTTTTTACGTAGCACTTCTATATACTTTGGGGACATTGTATGCAAATTTCTTATTGGAAAATAAAAGCCGGGATCTGGAGCTCTTGGCGTAGGTGCTGGTGTATTGGCTGCAATGGGTAATGGTGCTGGTGGCTGGGACGGATCTAATATTATACCACCAAACTGTTCTTCATATTTTACAACTTCTTGCAATTCCTACAACCCAAAATAACGTTAGACAAAAATATTTTATTTTAATAGATGTAACTGAGAAAAGATATTTACCGACTGAACCCATTCTCGATATTCATTATTTCCAAAACATTTTTTTGCATATAAACCAGTTAAATATGTCGATATACCTTTAGGTAACCACGTATCCGACCAATTCTGCATAGATATAAAACAACCAAAAAATTGTTCAGCAACAGCTTGGGCCATAGCTTTTTTTGTAATATAAACTTGATCAATTATTGCAGTAGAGTGCAACAAATTTGTGCTACAAATGAATCGTAATTTTATTATTAATTTACATTAAAACATTAATCATGATATCATTTATTAATTTTACTAACTTTAGAATACTCATAGTGGCATATGCATTGATATCTTCATCCAATTCATCTACAAACACTTGTTTGTAACAAGAATAAGGATACCTATTTGATAAAGTTTCTTCATAAAATTCAAATGCTTCGTGCATATATTTTGCAGACACTTTTAATGATGGCAATAATTGTGGTAAACAAAAATGTGTCACTTCATGCATGTATGGATCCACAAATATTTCAAATGGTCTAAAATATAAAATAATAATAGTTATTGTATTTTCTATAGATTTCAATATAATTTTACATTCATTTTAATTATTTCTTTAATTCACGAACTTACCCAACTGCAAGTGCAATATTTGGGGAACATGCTGGTGTGTTAAGAACATAATGAAATGTTTTTCTTCTCATATCTGGAGTATATACAACTTCTACAAGATCGCCACAAGATATAGCTGTCATAGAATCATCAACAGTAAATTCCAATTTCCAAGTACATGGTTCAGCGAAACTATCAACACAAGGAAACCACAATCTTGAAGAGTTCTCATAACTATATGTATACATATGTGCACCCCTCTATAAGGAATATGTCCATTAAAATACATGAAATCAGATTTCAAATCTAGTGTAATGTATATGTTTTACTTCTGCCAAAGTCCCATCACAATTTGGAACAACAAAATGTACTCCTCCCTGAGGTTGCTCTAAAGAAAATTCAATACTAATTCTTAAACTTCTTCCTTCAGCAACTAAATGTGCTGCATCAGGTGGAATTTGGACAACTAACTCTCCTGCATTATTATCTGGGTCTACTCTTTGTGCTGCTGCTAAATGCATATTTGAAAAAAACTCCAATGATCGTCTATAAAAATAATGTAAATATGTTATAATAAATACTTATAATAGAGATTCAGTATATATATTTGTTATGTAAGTATTTACTGTTTGCCATCTCCTTGACAAATATCCAGGAATGGATCAAAATATTGAAATGGTGCTTCATATGTGTCATTTAAACATACTCTATAAATTCTACATTGTTTTGCATTTAATTTTATAAGTCTTAATGTATCTCGAAGCGGAACAATTGTCAGCTCAACAAAGCCCTGTAAATAAAAGATATATTTTTAATATAGTGGAAAAAAGAAATTTTCTTGAAAATAAACATGATACTCACAATGATACTTTTCCTTTGAAAGCTTATGCCTGTAAGACTCAATATTTGGTGAGCTGTAAAATAAAAAAAAACTCAATAACCACTAGTATTTTGTTAGATTAGATATATAAAATGTTAAGAATAACACATATTATATTTTGTAAACATAACCTAAACATATAAACAAAATTAGATTATAGAACATACAAACATTTTTAATATTCAATACAAATACAACTATATCGAATTTTATTTGTATAAACGTCAAAATGAATAAAAAATCACTGTTTATAACAAAAATTTCTTGAAGATACTTATAATTTATATGGTCGGCTATTATCAGCCGTTCTTTCTTTCTTCATGATTCCATTTATGTGATTTCATCAAGTTAAATAGATTATTTGTGTATCTTGTTAAAATTCGTTCCATATATAAATATTTTTAACATAATCCACATTTAGGAATCAGACTTCTTGCACAATGAAAGCAAATGACATCCACTCAATCATTGGTTATGTTATGTACATAATGTATATTGTATGTAATACGTAGTAGTTCAGGACTTGCAGGAAGAGTGCGTTGTTGGTCGTTATTCTTGAAGGTGTACAGTACGATTCGGTGAAGTGAGGTGAAATTATTGAAACACATAAATAATCGTCAAATATGATAAAACATTAGTTTATTTACATATAATAGTTTCCCACAAAAATGTCACATTTAATTTTCTGTGCTGTATCATACATTTACAGTAAATATTGAACTTATGTTATAGTTAATGAAATTACGAACAAGTGAACAGTCTGAACTATTTCAACAGTCACAACATCCACATAGGATCGTGGATGTAAACTATAAAAATCATCAGCTGCTCGAACTTATTAAATAGTACTACTTGCTATATGTTGTTATAATAGTTGCCACACTATTATTTAATGAACATTATTTTCAAGAAATTCACTATTATATAAATATTTCAATTTTACAAATGGATAAAATGCAATCGAATACAATGTAAGTTACATCGAAATAGTGTCTTAATCTATTTCAAATTTATAATTTTAATAAAATATGATTGTGACAATATATAATTATGATTCAGACGTGTTGGAATATAAATTAAAAATTCTAAAATTATTAATTCAGTAGTGTTTCATTATCTGTTTCTGCCAATCATGTAACTCTCGAAAGATTAGTTTATTTTTAATCCAAATTATTTTTTGCAGACAAGAAAAATGTGATGTAACTGATGAGAGTTTACCTGCAGTAACTGCTAGTTTAGAATTACTTACAGTAGACACAAATTTGCCATATCCAGAACGAAAAAGGGCAGTCAGGAGGAAAACGTTTTGCATCGACCACAATGAAAGTCTTAATAGAAGGTACATTGTTATTTATTATAATATATCTGAAGCCTTACGCACATAAATGAGCCTATTACACAAAATATGTATATCATTAGATGCAGTTTAAGACCAAGAAAAAGAAGTACAGAGATGGAAAAAAACGATAAACAAAACAAAACACAAGAAGTAGATGTTAAAAATTATTATTTAAATAAAAATTTAAAACGAAAATTAAATTCTCTGGAAACAATTTATGAAGAAAGAGATAGTTCAAGCGAAAATAATACGTTTATGAGTGTAAAAAGATATAAGCGAATGATACAATTTCAAAATAAACCTACAGATTGCAAATTAAAGAAAAGAAGAGCAAAAATTAAGAAAGTATTTGGATTGAATGTTGGTTTTAAGCGAAGATGTGCATCCATGCAAATGTTGCTGGATAAACTTAATGGTATTAGAGCAGAATCCCCAACAAAGATTGATAATGAGACAAAATGATCATTGATACAAAAGTATTAAAATGTACAATGCAGAGTAAGTTCTAACAAAAAATATTTATTGAAATGACTTTCTTTTATAATGCAACTTTGTGGTTCCCGTTTTTGCTCAATTTATAAAATTTTTGTATAATTACATCAATGTGTATGCATTAAAAGTGCATGCAAGAGTACTTACGGTGATACCAATAGAAAGAATCAATTTCCACATCGCATTTTTTTGGTATTTGAAGATGTAATATCATTTGTGCTATATGCGTTTACTTTGTAAGCATAGT